CAGAGGGCCAAGGACTGGGCATGCCCAGGACCCTGGGGGATGGGAGGGAGCAGGGGGGCACTCGGCCCAGGGGTGCTCACGGGCCTGGCTCCTGTCTGCAGGTAGACCGAACAGAAGCACATGTCCAGCTGTCGGCCCTGGCAGAGCCCAGAGAGGGGGAGCTGGGAAGGTGACAGGCAGGCCCAGTAGCTGGCTGTCAGTGTTGGTTTCTCCCAAAAACAAGGAGCCACCGGGCCCAAGGGCTGGCCAGCAGGGATCCACGGCACTCCCAGGCACACACAATCCACAGGAGGGTCCCTGCCACCACTGGAGTCTGACAGTATCTTCCCACCAGCCCTGCCTTACCTCTCCAGGGACCTGATATCACCCCGCAGCACAGAAGAGAGAGAAAGAGATGGGATCAGATATGAAAGGGAGATCTGGGTGGCTAGCCGGCACCTGCTCCCACCAGGCTCACCTGTACTCGCCAAAGGTCTCGTCCTTCATTGGCCGCGCCTCGGAGTCCACCTGGGTGTCCTCCTTATCCTTCACTGGAGACACAGAGAGGAACTAGATTCTTCTCCGCCCCAGCCCATCCCTGGACACTGGGCCCCACTCCTAGGTGGGGACAGGGCTGAGCCTTTCCCTTGGTGCTCTGGGTGCTTCCAGCACTGTCTCAGCAGTGCTCGGGAGCCGAGCCTTCAAGTTTTCTGGGCCCCATGCTCGACCCCAACATGCCCCTGCTGTCCTGCCAGGGGCTTGGGGACCAAGGTGGACTGGTAAAGGGATGAAGGGGGCTCCTCCCAGTGTCCCGGCTCAACCATCCTCACCTGAGCCCTGGAGTCGGGGGTTACCTGAGTACTTGCCACCCTTACTGCGCTTGATAAAACAGAGGATGAGTAGGAAGAGAAGTAAGAGGATGATGGCACTGACGAAGCCAATGAACCAGCCCTCAGTGGCAAAGCCGGCAGGAGGGAGTCTCACGCGGCCTGAGGGGGAGAACAGGAAGGAAGGAGACCATGCCGCCCCCAGTGAGCTGCGACGCCCCTGGTGCTGCAGACCCCCAGGTTCATGGCTTGGTGCGTGGGCCTCACTCAGAGCCTCTGGCTTGGCCCACACCCCACCCCTCTGTCCCCAGGGCCTGGGCAGGGGCAGGGGCAGGAGCAGGGGGAGGGCCAGGCCTGCAGACCCCAGAGGGCCCGGGAGGAGTGAGGAGTTGGGGCTGAGGCACGCTTGGAATTGATGCTTGGGGGCACCCTCCTGGGGACAGGGAGGAGGACCTTCTGTGAAATTGAATGCTCTGGAAACAGTTAAAACAGAATACTAAAAGGGGTCGTTTCAGTGTCCTGGACCTGTCATCACTGGTCAAGGGGCACCCCGGTTCTGGGAGAAAGAGAGCCAAGACGTGGTGTGGGTTCTGCAGCAGTTGCAGCGGGGCTAAGGAGGGAGGGAAGCTTGCTAGGCAGGCCCGGGGCTCTCTCACCGGTGCCATTGGTCTTCACGGCCATCTGGTGCAGAAGCACCCGCTCTTTGAGCAAGTGGATCTCGTAGTCGGTGTCAGGCTGCAGGTCCCACTGCGTGTAGGAGCTCTGGTTGTAGCTGACATACTGTGGTGGGAGAGTAGCACCCATCTTCTCATCTGCAGGGCAAGAGGGCAGCAGGGGTGAGCGGGAGGGCCGGGCAACCCCTCAGCTCCGTGCCACCCCCAGCCCCTTCCCCTTCCTGGGCCCAGAAACCCCTTCCCCCCACCTCAGGGGCCCCTCTTGTGCTCACCCCCCAGGGCTTTGAACCAGATCTGGAACCCGAAGTTGCACTGGCCCTCCTTCGGGACCCAGGAGACCACACTGTAATTCTCGCCAGCCATGGCCGAGATGTTGCCAAAATCCGGGGTCCCTGGGGATGGAGAGGAGGGTTTGGGACCTTGAGGCAGCCCAAGGCCCACCCTCCTGGGCCTGGCCACCAGGCTGGCCTCCTCAGCCCCCTCCTGCTCACCGGATAAGGCCATGGTGCCTCCTTCCCGCACAATAGCCTCGCCAGGGCCCTCCTTTGTGGTGGCCTGCAGCTGGAAGCGGTACCGCAGGTGGGGGCTGAGGTTGGTCAGGTTGTGTGTCCGCAGCTCAGGGTCCGGAAGGTCAAAGGACAACTGCTCTTTGCCCCCGTCATCCACTGCGAGGACAGGTAACAAGTCGGCCTCAGCTGCCAGCCCTGCCCACCCTGCAGCTCCCTGCCACCTCCGGGCCGGGCTGGGCTGGGGCGCTGGGCCCACAACACACGTACGCGGGTGGTAAGAGAGCACGTAGCCAGTGAGCACGCCGTTGTGGCTGAGCGGGGGCTGCCAGTGCAACAGCAGGCTGGTGTCCGACTGGCATTCCAGGTGCAGCGCCGCAGGGTGTCCGGGCACTGCGGGGGACAGGGACGAGTGGTAGGTCCTTACCCAGGCCCACCCCAGACTGGGAGGCGGGGGCAGGGGCGTAGGGTGCAAAGCTCACCTCCCTCCGGGGTGATGAAGGCCATCTCACTGGCAGGCCCCAGTCCCCGGCCATTAAAGGCTTGCACCTCCACATGGTAGGAGCTGTAGGGCCGCAGGCCCCCCAGGACAGCACTGGTGGTGTTGGCAGGCACCACCACATGGCCTTTGTGGACATGCCTCTTGCTGTGCTTCCTCTGACTGCCCTCCCACCAGTAAGTCACCTGCAGGTTGACAGGAGATCCCACAGGGGCAGAAGGCGGCTAGCAGTGAGCCCTGGCTGCACCTTCCCCGCTGCCCTCCAAGGGGACCCTTTCCTCCAGCCTGAGAACTTTTAGGAGAGCAGCTGGCAGGTGGTAGAGCCCCTCTCCAACCTGTCACTCCCGGTAGCCTTACATCTCACCCCAGAGATGCCCCCAGCCCCCACGCCCTGGACTCTTACATTGTATCCCCGGAGGTGGCCCTTGACCTGGGCTGGGTCCACAGGCCACCACTTGACCAGCACGGTGCTCGAGTTGAGGATCTTGATACCTTCTATCTCAGGGCTTGCCTGGGGGTCTGGAAGGCACCAGTGCCATGGGTGAGAGCCTGTGGCACCCTGAGGCCAGCCCTGAACCCTCCCACAGGGGGAAGATGGATTTGGATGCAATATGGGGGGTAGGCAGTTTGATGAGCAGGGCGTTTGCATGGTCTCAGGGTCTCTCCCTGCAGACTTTTTATTACTTACGAGAGAGAAAATAGTGACTACAGAGAAGTAAGTAGAAAAGATCTTTTTTTTTCTTTTTAAATAGAGGGACTGGGGATTGAACCTAGGACCTCGCTCATGCTAAACACATGCTCTACCACTGTGCTATACCCCCACCCCCTGAAAAGATCTTGACTGGTTGATCAAAATTCGCATCTGATAATGTTCCAGATTTAAGGAAAGGGAAAACATCCTTACTCTTAGGAAGTGCGCTACATTAAGTGTTAGGAGCTGGGTGCAGGGATGAATCCCCCAGCAGTGGGCGGGGAGCGGGCCATGAAAGCACACACGGGCTCCACCTCCCAGGTGTGGGCGGGGCCAACTCAATACTTACAGTCCTCCCCAGAGTAGCCAATGGTGATCTGGGGCTCAGGGCCCTTGCCCTGGCTGTTAACGGCCTGGACCTTGATCTCATATGGTACAAAGGTGGACGTGTTGGACACCACCAGGAAGGGGTCGCTCACGATCTGTTCCTGCCAGGCCCCCAGAGCCCCCTGAGGGCGCCACTGCACACGATACTGAACCTGGGGGGCATTCCAGTCCATCCACCTGAGCGGCTGGAGGGGGTGAGCAGAAGAGGAGCTTGTCAGCCAAGAGCCCCTCCACCGGTCTGTGACCCACCCACCTTCCAGCCCAGCATCACGTCCCCAGTTATCTTCTGGTCCTTAGCAGCAGACATCTGGGTCCTGGCCTGATGTCCAGGGGTGCACTCAGCCCTGGGGCCCTCACCTTCCAAGTGATAACCATGTTGTTGGTCTCATTTCCTTCCCCCTTCACATCCACAGGATTCTTCTCTGGGGCTGGAAAGCAATGTGTTAACACATCAACATGGCAGGCTCCTGCAGAGGCGTGAAGGCCAAGGACCAAGGAAGGAATGGCCCATTCTGGCCCTGGAAGCCGGGAGCCAGCAGCCCCACGGTAACTCTGCCCCCTAAGCTCCTGCCAGAACCCTGGAAGCAGAGGAGCTTGGACACAGTCACTTTGCCAGACCCTCCTTGCAGAGCCCCGGGGGGCCTGGCATCTGAGGCCCCCTCCTGGGTGGCTCACCTGCCTCAGGTGTGACCACAGTCTCAGAGGCTGGGCTGGGCTCGCCAGGGCCGTATTTGTTGATGGCAGTAACTCTGAAGGTGTAATGGACATAGGGTGACAGCTTGAGGGTGGTGGAGGTCTGGTTCCCAGGCACCTTGCCCAGACTGTACCATTTCTCAGGCGCCATCTCCTTGTCCTCAAATTCAATGTCATACTCTGCCAAGAAGTGAAGTGGCAATGCAGTAAGCGGCCTGTGGCAAGTGGGGGAGGGGTGGTGGGGGTACAGGTCCAGCTCTCCCCGAGGAAGGGAAGGAGTGCTCAAGGCAACTGGCATTCTCAGGTTCCTGGGAGGAACCAGGAGAGCCCCCCTGCCCTGAACATAGCTGCGTGCCTCAGTGAGGTGGGCAGCTGTGGGCCACAGCTCTGGGAGGACAATGGAGCTGCAAGGAGGTGGGTGGGTGGGAGCACCATGTTCACGGCCTCTTACTCTCAATGGGGGCGTTGTGGTCATCAGCGGGGCTCCAAGACAGGTGCACCTGGCTCTGCTTCAGCAAATGGCGATCGGACAGTTCCAGCTGAGGCACAGGTCCGGGGCTCCCTGGGGGCCATAGTGGGTGGATTTCTGGCCCACTCACAGCTGCCCCACCACCAGGCTCGAAACAGCCCTGCAGTATCTGCACACAGTGCCCACCCGCATGCCTCCAGGCCATGAGCTCAATGCCGTCCGAGGACTCACCCACCACCAGGAGCTCCGCCCTGCTCTCCACCATATCCAGCTGGGTGCTGGCCACACAGCTGTAGTTGCCCTGGTCACTGTAGTCCAGGCTGTGGATGACCAAGTGCCCATCCTCTATGAAGTACCTGCAGGGATAGGGTGGATCCTGATCCTTCTGCTTCCAGCGGACCCACTACTTCCTGCCAGCTGCACTCTGCTCCCCTCCCTTCCCTCTCCTACCGGAACCTTCCCCCGCCAAGCAGGGGCACTCTCCACCACAGATGAGGCCAGGAAGTCTGGACATTCTGCTTTTCCCACTCTGCCCCCACCCATGGAGCCCAGGCTGGGGCTGGGCCCGCACTTGTCACTGTCCCCAAGCTCCTGGAGATTGCGACCATCCCCATGCCAGGTGATGCTGTGCTGCAAGGAGGGGTCAAAGGAGGCCTGGCACGTGAACGTCACTCTTGAGCCTTTCTTCTCGATCATGCTCCGGGGCCCCTGGATGATCTGTGTGGCATCTGAGGGTGAGGATGGGAAGGAGGGTCACGTTGGTGTCTTTCGGAGACCCTCCCCACTGGAGGTGCTGCCGATCACATCAGCAGGGGTAGGGGGTGTTACCTGACCTTTGACCTGCAGGTTAGCCACAATGGTGACGTTGTTCTGGTCATTGGCAGCCTGGCAGAAGTAGTGGCCAGTGTCATTGGCCTGGAGGTCTCGGATGCCCAGGGTCCCATTGGTATAGGGGAAGAAGCGCTCGTCCTGTAGCACCGTCTTTCCTTCCTTGTCCAGCCTAGTACAGACAGGGGGTTCGGGCTCAGACCCCACGGGGCCGAGCTCCCCTGCCCTGCCTGGTTCCCTGGACCAGAAAATGGCTTTGAGGTGCCTTCTGTCAGGGTGGGGGCACTCACCACTGGATGCTGGGCACGGGGGCTCCAAAGGCCTTGCACAGAAGGTAGGCGGTGCTGCCCTGCACTGCCATGTAAGTCTCATTGTCTGGGGTCAGGATCTTGGCCGGCAGCTCTGGAGGAGGAGCAGTCATGGGGGACAGGGCAAGACCCAAGGCTGGGTGACCGCACATGCGTGGTCGGTGGGCAGCCACAGGGATGAGCAGGGCAGCTTCCCCCAGGAAGGCTCACGGACTCTGGAAGCTGCCAGTGACTCCACGGGGCATTCTCAACCCCTCAAGAGCCACCTGCCCATCTTGCTTCCCTGCGCCCAGTTCTGTTCCCTGCCAGGCTGAGCCTCTCCTGGCCTTCAGACATGCCATCCCCTCTGCCTCAGATGTACCTTTTGTCCCAATCACATGTTTTACCAATCATTTGAGGCTCCACTGACAGCCTACCTCTTACGGAAAGCCTTCCTGGCCTAGCCCCCAGTCTTTCCCAAGGCTCTGGGAGAGGAGCCACCAGGTTGGTCTCGGGCACATCCTGACCAGGGCGAGCCTCTCCTCGGTGACATGGGGTTGGCCAGACTACTCTCTGAGGCTGCTTCTTCATCTGTAAATACCGACAAGACCCTGCCTTTCCTCCATGCACCCTGTCCCACTGTTGTGAGGATGAGCAGGGGATGGGGTGAAGGCTCGGGGGAGGAGAAAGGCAGTCATGTAGACAACTCAGCTGCTGGCTAAGTCAGTCTGGTGGCCTTGCCTGGTGGGGTGCAGAGACAGACCAGGGGCTTATGAGGCAAAGAGGAGAGAGTGAGTGGGCCCAGCCAGCCGGCACTCACCAACCACATAGATGTAGGCGTTGGCCAGTAGCAGTCCATGCCGGTTGCGGGCCTCGCACTGGGTCACCATCGTGTCACTGGGCTGCACGTTGCTCAGGACTAGGGCTCCATGCTGGATCCGGTACTTCTGGTCCTTGGCCAGCTCTGCATGTGTCGCAGGCGGGCCCCAAGGGCCCAGAGCGGAGCCATGAGCTATACCAAAGCCCTTCCTCCCCTCCTCTTCTTCCCCCACAGTCCCCAGGGCTACCCACGCTCACTCCCTTTCCCTGCCCGAGGCCCGCTCACCCTCCATGGGGATCCCGTTGACTCTCCAGGTGACCTCCGGCCGGGGCCTGCCCTGCACCTGGCAGTCCAGGCGGGCAGTCTCTCCCGGTCCGTACAAGCGGCTCTGGGGCTTGCGCAGCCAGTGCGGGGCGGCTGTGAGGAGATGTGGGGGGCGTGCTGAGCCCAGAGCCCATGGCTGGCCCCCTGCCCCCTACCCCCGGCCCCGGGCCTGCGCCCCAGGGCTCACTCTGGGGAGCCCATGTGCTGGGAAGTGGGATGGTGCAAGGCGGAGACACCCTACCTTCCACAGTGACGTGGTATGCATGCCGGTCAGTGCCCAGTGAGTTCTCAGCCAGGCAGCGGTACTCGCCATCGTCCTCCTCGCCCACGTTCAGCAGCTGCAGGGTCTTGTTGTGGTTCTGGTAGGTGACTCGGTCGGCTGGCATGGGACCATTCAGGCGCAGCCACTTGATGGTGGGTGTGGGGCTGCCCAGGGCCACAGGGCAGGGAGGCCAAGGGAGAGAGCAGAGGGGAGAGAGGACAAGGCCGCTCAACACCGCCCCACGGCAGAGGCTCTACCTCGCCCTGCCCCACCCAGCCCCCACCCAGGGGCCCAGACTCACAAGCCCTCCGCAATGCACTCCAGGACCAAGGGCTGCCCCTGCAAGGCCACCAGGTGGCTGCTGGAGTTGGTGGGGAAGAGCAGGCGCGGCTTCCTGTCCATCATGCTGTTGGCTGTGAGGAGACAGGGAGCAGGTGGTATGGCTCTTCCTCCGTCCACTCATGAAGTTATCAGGCTGGGTGACTTTGGACACCCCAGTGATCCCCCAGGGCCTCAGTTTTCTCCTTCATTAAAGGCAGGGCTCTGTCTCTGCTCTCACCACACAGGAAGAGGGGTGGGGAGTGTCGAGGTGGGAGCCGAGCTGTCCTCAAGGGAGTCTGAGGTAGCCTGATCTACGGGCTGGGCCATGCCTGAGGGTGAGAGAGGAGGAATAGGGTGTATCAGAGCCTTTGGGACTCACTGGCCTTGACCCGGAGGTCAATGGGTTCCTTTTGAATGATGGTCCGGGTGCCAGGGAAGTGGGCATGGCAGATGTAGTCTGAGTGATTGTCCGAGGTGAGCACATTGGCAAAGTAGAGGTTGCCGTTCTGGCCCATTGTCACCCGCTCGTCCTGTTTGATGTGCATGATCTCTGTGGGGACAAGGGAGGCCAGGAGGCAAAGGTCAGGACCCCCATCTGGGCATATACACCCACCAACCCACCCGTCCGAGGCAGCAGCCCCTCAAGGGCACCCACTGCTGTTCATCCAGTAGATCCGGAGCGGCTCTGCACTGGGCGGAGGGTGGCAGGGCAGAATCACCGACTCCCCTTCCTCCACCTCCACAGGCTTCACTGTCTCCTTGGGCCACTTGGGGGTACCTAGAAGGGACAGAGAGGCTGGCACTGTGGGTCTTAACTCTCCTCCTGGTCAAGGCAGGGGAAGGCAGGGGAAAGGAGGAGGGATAGCCAAGGGGGTGAGAGGGTCAGGCCATGAGCAAGTTCGCATAAAGTGAGGCAGTGACTGGGGATCCTTTGGGGGCTCAAAGCAGAGGCTGGCACTTCATGCCGAGGAGAGGATGGGAAGGAGGCCAGATGGCTATGAAGGGTTAAGTTTCCACAATTCTCAGCTCCCACCAGGAGGAAAGGATGAGGGCAGGAGGGTGGGGGAAGGCTGAGGTGCAGCAGTGGGGGAGGGGAGCTGTGGAGGGATGCTAGTGTCACAGACCCTTCCATCATCCTGACACAGAAACCATGGCAACGGTTCCCAAGGTAACTGGAGGGGCAGAAAGGGGAGAGGAGCACAAGCTCGGGAGGCAGAAAGCTCAGGGAGGCTGGAATGCAGAGGGAAAACCCCAGGTAAAGGGCAACTCAGATGAAGACAGAGCCAGAGAGCAGGAAGGAGGGAGCCAGACAGGCCAGGTGAGAGGTGGAAGGTGGAGGGGAGACGAAACAGAGTGATGGGGGAGGTGGAAGAATGACCAACAGTGGCGGAGGAGGACACGGCAGTTCAGGGATGGATGGGGACAGAAGCCAAAGCCCAGGCAGTGACTCGGGCTCAGTCCTCCACTCATTCAGTTGGCCAACAAGCCCAAGAGCATTCCCTACATGGCAGGCCCCGAGGCCAAAATAGGGAAAGCACAGAAGAAGAGAGGGAAGGAGAGACCAGGAATGGTGGAGAAAGAGACAGGGCAAGGAAGGAGAAGGTGGCTGAGGGCTGCTGGGCACCCAGTGCCCTTGGCGCACTGGACCACCAGCTGAGGGAGCAGGGCTCCCAGCCTGGACTCCCACCCAGATTCCCAGACCTCAGGCCTCTGTGGGGATCCCTGTCTGGGGAACCTCCCCAGACCCTGCAGTGCCTCGCACCTTCGGCCATGAGCTGGATCTCGTGGGACATGGCGGTGCCCAGCTTGTTGCTGGCAAAGCAGCGATAGGTGCCCTGAAAACTCTGGGCGAAGTTGCTGTTGTTGCCCGTGATGGTGAAGGAGCCAGAGTGGGGTGCCTGGTTCACGGTCACGCCTAGCTCCTCCTTGGGTTTGAAGTGGACGCCATCCCGAGTCCAGCGGAACCTATGGGCAGAGAAAGGCACAGAGGCCTGAGGTCCGGGAATCTGGGACAGGGCAAGGACCTAGAGTGATGAAGGAGATCTGGGGGGTCTGAACCCAGAAGTCGGAAGGCCCTGGGAGACACGGGGACTAGAGGCTCAGGTCAGTGGTCAACAGCAGGCCTTAGAGGGCGAAGGTCACTCACTGCACTTCGGGTTTGCCGCTGGCCTCACACTTGAGGCTGATGTCATCGGTGGGGAAGACAACCAGGCGTCGCGGAGACTGTTCTGTGATGACTGGTGGCTCCATCACTGGGGACAGGATGGGGAGAGAGATTGTGAGGAAGACATCTAGCAGGCATCATTGCCTTAACCCCTGTTCCATTGTGAGGGAAGCAGGGTCTGGAGCCCTTGGGGGCCCCAGGGCTGGGGGTAGAAGAAAACAAGCTCAGGACAGGAAGAGGGAGGGGCAGGGACAAATGTGGAGAGAGACAGAAGAGCGAGAGATGGCAACAAAAGTTACCAAGAGAGCAACCTCAAAGAGAGAGGTGAAGCCAAAGAGAAAGGCAGAGGGTGTGGAGGAAAGGAAACAGAGACACAGGAGCCAAAGAGCAAGACGGGCAAGTCCCTCATGGGAGAGAGAGGACCAGAGAGAACAGAACACCAGAAAGAGACGCGAGGAAACCCAGGCCAGGCAGGAACAGAACAGAGATGGGCACGCGGGTGAGGGAGAAGGGAGGCTGAGACAGCCAGAACAAGGACCCAAGAACCAGAAAAGACAGCGACCCACACAGGGCACACAGCACACACGGAGAGCTAAGCGCGGGCAGGAGTGGGGAGGGAGAGGGGGCTAGTGCGGACACCCAGGAAACTCGTCCCCTCCCCCGAACTTACCATGGTGTCCTTCATCTGAGAATCCGGC